TGTAAACCCGACCTTTTGCTATCAGACTAACGTCGCGACAGCGCCAAGGGCAACCCTAATGTCAAGAAACATGACGATTTCTGACCTGCAATACGTGTGGCGATGTTCAAACGTCTGGCGGAGGGTAAGCATATGGTCAGTGCATCCATGATCTGAACTAAACCTGTCATGCTGCTTGTGAGTCATTTTCTCACGTGTTTTGCAGACTGCAAAGTATGATAGCGGCCAATATTTTTGGCGTGACTGGTAACAGACTAATCCCCAGTGATTGTCACACAAATTACGTAGACCATTTTTAAAGATGGGCACAAAATGGCTTCATTCCAGAGTGATGGAACACTCTCAGCCTGCCATATCTTCTCAAACAAAATAGTCATTTCCCTAACTAGAGTCGTTCCCCCATCCTGAAAAAGAGTCAGGGGTAGGTTTTCTGGGCCGGGTGCCCTATGTAGTTTCAGAACTTGAAGTTTCTTATGGATTTCCGCCCAGTAAACCGACCATGGAGCACGATATACGGAAGTAATGCTGAAACTGCTTTCCGAAGTGCTCCGCCCAGCGTTCCAGGGGTATTTAAAGATTATTTATTAGCGTATCACATACCTCACAGACCGTCTCATTAACACATGGCTTCTTGCTCCCAGTGGCTCGGATGAGCTGGAACAAATTTCGACTATTTCCGGACGCAGCTGCTGCTTCCATCGCAATCGCACGTTCTTACCGCTAAGCCTCATGATCCCTGTGTAATCTTTTGCGTAAGTGACTTACACGAACCATTGTACTTGCTATCAGCCAGAATAATCCAATGGGCGTCAATAAGTTGCAGCGAGCTCGCAAAAATCTAGTGTTTATTGGCGGGACGTTCTTTCAATCCACAAGTGACTTTTCTCATCTTTTTCATAGCTTCTTGCAAGTGCAGCCAATACTCATCAACACTTTTTGGAGGATCAGTCGCTAGCCTTAAATCTAGCTTGGATTAGTGTTTAACTGCCATGTTAAATGCAACTAATTTGCTTGCATCGGTCTGTTTAGAACGACGATTTTGATGATCATCAGAGCGCTAAACGAGTTTAGCACACACTAAAGCATGATCAGAGTCCAACACGAGTGCTCCACATGAAGTGGCAGTCCTGTATGCACCCACGCCATCGGTAGCTGATTGCTGTATGATCTATTTGCGTCCAGGCTGGAGTGACAGAGGAAGGACGCCAAGTAGCACAACGGCGATGGCTATACCGGAAGTTTATGGTGGCTAGAAATAGGTTGTGATTACACAAAGCTCCAGAAGTCGATCTCTATTATCCCACCTGCTACCACTTAAACGACCCTCCTCCGAGTCTAGACTCCTGACCTGCACATTCAAGTCCCCAGCTAGTACTACGATATCTGTCGAGGGGACTTGTTTGAGAAGGTCACTTAGTTGATGATAGGATTCATCCTTGGTTGGATCCGGGCTGGAATCCGTCCGATCATAGGTAGAGAGGACAAAGAAACATCATTTCTCTTCCTGAATACTTCTTACTGGAGTCGAACCTTCTGACCTAACAGCATAGAGACGACTGTTGATTGGGATCCAGTGGAGTAGTATAGCATCTGTTCGAGTGCCTAGTGCGACACCAATACCAACGAGGCCGATTGCTTACGCCACGGGGTCCCCGAATAGGCTCACATGAAACATGCTTTTCGAGCTGACAGATGGGGAACTAATTGTAAGCACATCACTGGAATCTTGTATGCGGGTCTCGGAGATGCAGCATACATCACTGGTGAGTCTTTCCGGATCTCTAACCAAACCTGCATGTTGCTCGATCTTCATCAAGGTGCGAACGTTGAAGGTGGCGACCTTAAACGGTACGCGTGGTTTCAGGATAGCTGTGTTAGATGTCGCACTGGAAGACAGCTTTATGGGGGTAACTGTTTAGCAACTCAAAATGGTACAGACAGACAAGAAGCCTAAGAAATGGAGAGAAGCTGAGTGAATTGAAGATAAAGACGAAAGCGAAAATGGTAATAATAAAATGTACAGTTTATATGTAAAAACTGTAAAAGCAATACGATAGAAATAAGTTGAGTAATTGGTTAGAAAGTTCTCAGTGCGGAGAGCTTAAGTATTCGCAGAAAAGTTGGTTAATAGCTTCGAAGTCTTCTTTTATTTTGTAAGTTCGTATCTTGTGTGAGGGCTGGGGTACTGCCCAGGCGCCCATACTGAATCAGGTGGTTGTCTTAAGGGACCGCTCCCCAAGCCTTTGACTTGAAGTCCAACTCACAAGGTGGCTTCATTCTTATGGTTGCCGGTGACCAAAATAGGTTCGTTCCACCTGGAACCTGAAGCCCATGAGCACTACTGGTTTGGAATCAGGGTTTTACATCTCCCCTTGGTGGAGTTTCAGTATCCACCAATCTGGTGATAAACGCAGGAAATTCGCTCGCGCCCTTTCACATCTGTGGAAACATGTTTCCCACGTGAAGGCTGTGAATAGGACTTCTGGCAGAGGCTGTGAACACGTAGTGTAGCATTTGCAGATAATCTGAAGTGCGCTGGGAACGGTTTGCAGTTGTAGTTTTGTTTTACCTTCGTTTGAGCAGTTAGGTAGTGTTCAAACCAACACGTGGTTATTGAGGTTTTAGTAATTTAAGTCGTGTGACACTTTGTATATTGAAATCATAAGGTGGAGTATTCGAGGTGTGGAAAATGTTTGACCGTATCTGCCAGGATTTATAATCCTCTCCACAATTTGAGCATAGTTATATTAAAGTGAGCTATTCTTTTATATTTGTATTTCCCAAAGCATGGAAGGTATGGAGTTACCTGATATGAATATGGACAATAAATTGTCCGAAACATTAACCAGTAAATTTTACTGTTTCACTGTGTGATATATCTAATAAAGAGACTAAAATGAAAAACATAAAACGGTTTTTTTTGCTGACGCTTCGTTGTTTAGCCTTAATAGATTCATCAATGTCATAGTGAACCCGAATATACAATATTCAAACCTATTTATGATAACATGATTTGAGTTATCACATGGATTGTGATGCCATTCAGGTTCCACACCTTGGATTGGATTAGGGAACTGTTCAACAGATGCTGTATCAGTGTTCTACAGAACATTGAATCTGCTGTATAGCGCTTTGAACCATAGGGATGACAACATTCACCAGGATCCCCATTTTAATTGTGTTTGTAAAATAAAATGCTCAGACCGCGGTGCAGTATACACCTGACAAACTTGCCATCAAGTCAATGTTAGATAAAACTAACACTGGAGGGATTTCACTTGATCTTTCACAAATCAAGTAGAGTTCACAGAGACTGAAAATATTTTAACCATTGGTCTACATACTGTAATTCCAAGTTATAAGGTCGACCTTGACAAAAACGAAATTATTCATGAAGCCTTTAGAAGTTATAAGGAATGTCGTGTAAAAGAGTTTCTACACATAAAGCGGAATAAAAATTTCCTAAATAAGAATAAGAGAATTAAGCCTACCTTGACTTGGTTTTAACTTATCTCTACATAGTGAGATAAACAACACACGTGCGATAAGAACTATAAGCATATGCACATTCAGTTCACTCATCACACTTAACATACCACATACACAGCCACAGCCATACAGAGAACTCGGATCAAGTTATCATGTCTGGGTCTGGATATACTAATAACTTTGTCAAAGTTATTCGTAATGTATTTCCAGGCAAATGTGAATTTTATGTTTGAGGCAGCATTCATCACGAACTGACATAAGTTGGAGAACCACTGAAAACCTGGGAGCATTGGACAGCTGTTTTGCCCAAGTATTGGACCCCTAAGCAGTACGCATCCACGACCCGGCTAAGGATCAAACTCAGGATCTTCAAGTTCCACGGCGAACGTGTTAACCATTCAGCCTCTGGGCTGGAGTTTAATACTCCACAGTTTCCTACTTCCGTCGACACATCGTGACTCTCCACTAAGGGTACCATTTGGCATCCGATTCACTTGCGACTGCTTGACCCCACTGGTCACGAATTCTTATTAGGACTTCGGGATATCCATCTCGAAGCATTTCATTAGTGAGCACTATACAGTAGTGTGTTTTGAGGTTAATAGGGATCTTATGTCTAAGGTAGCATTCATCATCCTCCTATGCTAGAACGGAACGGCTGTCCAGTGCTTCCAGTTTTTCAACGGTTCTCCAACTGGTGTCAGTCTGTGATGAATACTACCTTAAAGTTATTAGTGCCGAATAACGAAATGTCGGTAAAAATAGGTTTTCGGTTTATTTTTCATGCATTGAGAAATACAAATGCCAAAATAATGAATATCAACTCAATGCCCAATTTTTCTAAAACCATCAAACCCTAACTTTTGTTGGATATCTATAAAGGTCAGTAATACCTTATACTGTATACTGATGTTTCTTGGTTGTTTGAAACCTGTGACAATCATGCATCCTTTAATTTATAAGATTTCCCATTTGAAGAGGAGAAATGGCTACTAACAAAGAGGTATCCAATCATCTTCCATAAATCTCGGACTGTAAAGTATGACGTCACCCCAACGACTGTGAAGCAAGTGCGTGCGTATAAAAGCATGTGTACCTAGTATCGAATCTGTGAGAAGAAAATATAATTCGATAAGCAATACAAACTGAAAATTTTGTTTGTCTTTTTCTTAATTTCTAATATATTACTCATATTGCACTTTTCTGTTTTATAACTTTCCGATTAATGCATTGTTACTTAGTGTGATATTGATAATCACTTTTATAAAGTACCACTTTGTTGATATCTTTTCTTCTCTTTATAATGCCTGGTTTCTATGCGTCCTAAGGTCACAGCGTAAAGTATATGTTTCACTTGAAATCTTATATATATCACCTCATAAGTCTACGGTGGCGCAGTAGACGCTCACTATGATCGTATTTAATCTTGTTTTCCTCTATGTTTTAGGAATTCATGATTGTCGTTTACTGGATGATAGCATTATTTTCTCTCTTTTATCCTCTGCTTTTAGTTGTCTACATAGTTGGCCGAATAGGCAACTCAGGGATTGCAGATGGCGGAAGTAAATATGCTCCCTTTGGTCGGTCGAAAAAGTTTGGTGATATGGGTCATCCAGTTGTCATACCTGCATCACTACAAGCTGAATCAAAGCGAACATTTCATATCAATGAATTTAATCTGGTCGCCAGTGATTTAATTGGCCTTGATCGTAATTTAGATGATTTTCGTGATCCTAGGTTTGTTTTATTGCACAATACATATTTGCCTTTCTCGCATAATTTCATTTCGTGTATTGATTCCAAAAAGTTACACTTGTCCACTCTTGTGTTTCATAATATCTGAATGTTTAGTTTGTAGCTGTTTACGTTAGGAAAGAGCTGACCGTGGTGCGGGAATTACTCATGAGTTCAGATATCTCTGTCAATATGGTCTACCACAATATCTTAGATAAAGCTTACTTGTGAGTACTTAAGAGTAAGAAAAATAGATGCAATATTTGGTTTCAACTTCATTTAGTACCCATCTCCAGAATTTGGTCAACACTAAGGGTAATTTGAATGACGCATCTAGAAGGTAAAGTAATCTCTTCAGATTGACGAACTGTGCAAGCCTTGCACAATGAGCTGGAGACCGAAAAGAAGAACAAAACCAAGCCGTATCTGAAGGTGAGGAAGTAAGGATCCATATGATATCATGCTTTTTCCTTTGCAGAAGATCGACGCACCATTAATCTGTTCCAGGTTGTAGCTGTGTTTCATGGAACTGTCACATGAAGAAAATAAAGGTTAAGCTTACAGTCTTGGATGAAAGAGGTACGCCTTCCGATGAGGATGTGAACCTTCATCGATTGAAACGGCCGTGACATGTGTTGTGTATGTAGATCCAGTGTCCACCCTAGTACTCTACGTTGAGCTAAGTGGATATAAATCTGTTAAAAGAGGGTAAAGGTGACTAGATTTTGATGTAATCTCAGCCCCTGAGTGCTGGTTTGAGTTATGTAGACTTCCAGGTTGAGGGTTCATATAACAACGGAAAATGATAGTTGGAAATTCTAGTTGATATAACTCAACATTGATCGCACGGGTACAGATGTACCCATACCGTTTCTTCATTTTCATCAGCGTGTTACTTATCGTTAACTTCTTTGACTGTCTTCATTTTTGCTTTATGGCTTTACTGCATCTTTCTTATTTATTTGAATCTCGTTCTCTTGCCTTTCATCGTGATTTGCTGTTGTTAAGGTGTAGCTACTTGGACTGTTACAGTCCTATGTTGGTCGTAACTGACTAAGTATTTTAGGACTCTGGACAAAATACCTACATTCTAACGAGCGGCAGCTAATTATGAGCTTTATGCATCCTAAGCGTCTCGGCCTTAAAAGTTTGTCAAGTTTCATTAACAAAGCCTTATACTCACACTCAAATGCAACAGGCGACTAATGTTGTGAAGTCACGGGTGGTCAAGTACTTTTGGTCTTTTATTGTTTGTCTTCAAGAGTTATGTGTTAGTAGGTGGTAGGATAAAACATGAAGCGTACTTATGTAGTATTCCTTCTGTATACTGAAGCTGGCAAAAAAGGTAATTAATTTTCTAGAGCTTCACATTTTTTTACTAGCAGGAAAATGTGGGTCTTTCTATTTTATATTGGTCAGGAAATCTGTGAACAGTAGATCAGTTTAAGAGAATTTGAGACTGAGAAGAGTTTTTTCTCAGAAGCAAATCCATTTCAACGAATTTGATTACGTCTTTTTCATAGTCACAGGTTATGACTAGTTTGATGGTTAAATATTTCTAGATTTTCGAGTCTGAAAGACATATTTACGTTGAACAGATTCCAGTATATTACTATTAATGCTATTATATAAATGCATGTTAACGTGTGTAATCATTCTGTTAAATCAGTAAAAATTTATTTTACTGATAATGTGTTTTGAAGTTTCTATGGAGTTTCTTCTGTACAATAGTAACATGCTTCAGAACGATTGTAGACATTTTACTTAGCAAACTCCACTGTTTGGCTGTCAAAACTATATATATATATATATATATATATATATATATATATATATATATATATATATATATATATATGAAATAGACAGAAGTAAGCCAGTGAATCATCTACTCGCAGCTGTTACACACTGCCATTAACAATTTCGTTCGCCGATACCCTATCGATTGTTTTTGCAGTGATAGTTTAATAGTATAGAGAACAGACGTATGTACGAATATGTTTAGGATATTGGTTGCTTCTTTTCTTCCAGAGGATATCGTACAGCTTGGTAAATGTGTTCATCATGAAATTCTAAAAGTCTGCTAGTGATTTCTTTTTCCTCCTCAGTCGAGGTGGCATAATCAGTGCAGAATCATACAGGAACGTAGACGACAGACCATAAGATCTCTGACTTTCGATTACTAAGTCAAATCTGTGTTCAAGTGTCGAGACAAGTACAAAGAAACTTTTTTAATTTCACACATACACCTTTTTGATGAATCTTCACAAATAAGAAACTTTGGTGTTTGTGACTCTCTCTTCGTCATCTCCGGATATATTGCAACTAATAAACTGTCTTCTTGGGTTGTAATTTGTTTGTTGGTAGCTACCAGTTCAGTCGAGGATACATATTTCTTCCTATTTGGGACTTCTCATTGAGTACATGTGTTTGAACACATTGGAATTTATCACCCTTCACTTCGAATGATAGAACGTTACCCATCATGTAACTGAGTCACAAGAGGCGTTTCTTTTCTGTCGATCAGTCCCATCTTGTATAACAATAGGAAATTAAAAGTATCAATAAATATCTACTTTGGTACCTTAAAAATTCAGTTAACAATTAGTTTGAGTTGGTTTCATGCCTTCGCTATAGTCAGTTGAACTATACATTGCTAACTTACGCCATGTGTTCCTGAAGCGCTACACATAGGTGTTTATCAAGGATTGTATTTATTGTGCAGTAATGCACTATATCCTACGATGCAGTAATATGAAGCAATATGAGGATTGAAGGTATATTCAGCTATTGTGATCATGCCTTCTAAGCATCACTCGTGCGTCAAAGCGTCATTGGGTGAGCATACTGCTGTCAGGCGTAGAATACTAGTCGAAGAAAGTGAATTAGGTCATTAAGTTGTGAGCCTTCATTGAGTGGTGTGGTTATGGAAAGTGTTACGTAATCTTAATCGTCACTTAAGATCTATTTTTACCGAAAATAAGAGCAGAATAGAAAAAATAAGCTTCAAAGCGACTAGATCTAGGAACAGGCCTAGTTCATGAATTTTTCAAGCTCTGGTTTAAGTCTTCTAAGAAGTTTTATGTTTCTTGACAAAAGTCGATCAAACAATTAAACTTGATTGTGAAGTTGTACATTTAAAACTGTGTAGTTTTTAATTGAAAATATGAAAAGGGAATATACGGACTAAGTACCGATGTGAAATTTACTGGAGTTACCATGGTTAAAAGATAGCAAACTGTGTTTACTTAATGTAAAATTAAAACCGAAGCTAAACTTGAAAATATATAAAGGCTATACTAGGATAGCGAAAGAAGTGGTGATACCGACACTGGTTAATTCGTGTTAAGTAATTTGGGTTAGAATAAAGCATCCTACAGCTGAGGGTCGAAGGTGAACAATATTTTCTTGTACTGCTATCATTCGTCTGGGATATTAGCAATGCACATGGACTCTTGTATTGTTATTGAACTGAATTTCGTTCTATAGATTGTATATTATACTGTCATAATGAACACATTGGTGACCTTACACAATTGTAGGCAATAATTAATCACTTAATAGTGTTCATTTTTACCCTCTATTTTATTATTATTATTATTATTATACTTCGTATGCAATTAGCTGTGGATCTATGGGTCATTGGCTTACGGACTGAGTTCCGGATTAGAACCGTGTCCCACCTGCTTTGACCTGTGTGAGATATCCAATCTCCTGTCAAAGAACGAGTATACTGCAAAGCAGTCCGGTCTATCTGGTTGTACTGCCGTAATATATGGTCATTCAAAGTTGGAGACATTAATAAGCTGCAGATTTTTGACCATAGGACGGATTATACCATTGTTTGCTTCTGGGAGAAACACCATGTGAGTGATTTCGAAGTTAAGCACAGGGTATTAGGTATAAAGTGCAAGTAAGCCGATGAGATTGTCAACCTTCACCGGCGTAGGTGACTTGGATATGTATTGCGCATGCGGAGCCACTGCCTACCTGGATGTGTGGTGTTAGCTGAAGTAAGATTAGAGTAAAAGTGACCAGATTGAGATTTAAAACCGATCCGTGAAGTCTCTGACTGTTGGCATGATCTGTATTAGGAGATGTAGCATGTCTTACTGAGATGCTCAAGACGTTGAGAATCAAGAATTGGCTCAAAATCGATAATACCGAGACAGATGTATACGCCCTTTGTCATCTTCAAAGTTTTGAACCCTCTAACTAATTTTCATTTATATATTTATTCTTTTCCCATCCCCATACACTCATGTCAACTGTAATGCCGTTCATTTTCTTTCTCACTTCTTTTCTTACTGTTATAAAATGTGGCAACTTGATGTGATAGACTTTTATTCCATGTTTTATGTTGATTTGTCAATCTTCTTAATCTGTTATCTGTTTATTCTCATGTGTTTTAAGAGTATTTCTCAACTCTTATCGACCTTTTATTTTTGCTCTATTGCAAAGTGCAACAGCTTGAAGCGATGCACTTCTGTACAATGTTCTGCACTATTGTTTCTGTGTATGTACGCGTCTTCATAATCTCGTTATGAATTGCGATAGGTCAGTCTATCGAATCATCATTGAAAAAGGCTTGAGGCTGCCAGACTAAAACATGGCATCAATGTATGAAGTCTTTGACTGTTGATTGGAGCCATATGGGACGATGCAGTCCGCGGGACAAGAGGAACCAGTAGTTGAAGACTCTATGTGATATGGCTCAGAACCGATGCTAGTGACTCAGATGTGCATACATATCATCCTCATCTTAACCTCTATACGTAGCTCCATCGTTTTCTTATTCGTCTCCTCCCTTTTACTGGTTTCTACTCCTTTTGACCGATTTTCGTTTCCTTCTTCATCTTCCATTTTATTGCCTTGTTACTTGATGTGCTGATATGATGTGTGGTGACTTCGACCGTTCCGCACTAATGTCTGCTCCTATATTGATCTTGATGAGGATGATTTATCACATAAGAATACATATGGTTTACACTGACAAGTAAATTGACTTTTTATAGGGTTACCGAATTAAATGTTTCTTTTTCTCTCCTTTTTTTCTCATATGTTTTGGTTTATTTTTGTACAATATGTTGTCGTTCATAAATACTTTGAACAGATAAATGTCAGAAAAGTGTTTATCACACTTAACATGTGTGCATTTGTTTTGTTCTTCGGTTATGCTATAAGCTGACAAATAATTATGTGGGTAACATTTGCCATTATTTGACATACGCTCAATTGTAAGTAGCAATGTTCACTGTTTAATCTTCGATTTGTGTTCCATTTATTGGACTATACATGAAGCTCTGGCTCACTGGTTTAGGCAGATGACTTGAAATGACTAGGTCACGGGCTCCAACTTCGCTTACCCTATCTTTGTATGAATAACCAGGCAATATCATTAGGCCTCAGGTATAGTTCATTGCCTAGTGCTTGAACATGCGCATGGTTACAAAGAAAGTTTATGGAATTAAGTAAATTACTTTGCTTTACAGCACAGATTAATGATAGAGAACACTATTGTTTCTAGCGCATTCAGATTCAGATTCCAAAGCTAAAAATAACAATTGAAATTACTTTTCAGTTGCATTGTCAGCACCGAGTGCAGCTGAGGCCGTTTGACATTGGGAAAAAAACATTTTTGATGTGAGATGATGTAAGTCAGTTGACAGAAAACGTTGAACCTATGTTTAGTGTTTGTTGGCACTCGTCAGCAAGGTATAACTGCAATTATAAGGGAACATGATTTGAATCTGTGTCACTTAGTGCTGTTCAGACCACAACTGACACTCTATAGGACTGGATTACATACACGAATTAGTCAATGCAGAGTAACCAGTTTCATGTTGTCTAGTCTTCAGTGTTTAGCACTGATCGAAGTTTATCGATCACATTTTGCAATGTGATCATTAGGTGAAGTGGTGCTACACTGCAGTGGACTGTATTTTAATGTTAAACGGTTGGATTCATTCGTCAAGAAACCCTGGACCTAGATCTTATGCAAAAAGTTATCAACAGACTTCTATCAGTGCTAAGTACTGAGGACTAGACAACTACATGGACTACCCACTGATGACTGATTCATGTGAAAACCTATTTATAGTTGGTTCTAATGAGGTCATAGCAAAAGAAATAATCTTTCGTGCATTGGAATGTGGTACGGAATGCATAACAGTTTGTGGAGTTTACAATTGACTGTTAAACGATATATATATATATATATATATATATATATATATATATATATATATATATACAGAGAGAGAGAGAGAACTTCATTCAATATGATCTATTGAGCTATACTTTAATGCTGTTCAGAGCATTATTTATTAAGTGAATTCACCTGACAGTTTTGATTTCGTTGAGTTAAAAATATGAGGTAAAGTGCTGTAGAATATGGCTAGCAATTGAGATCTGTGGCTACAGTACCATTGAAGGGAGCAAAAGACAGGTACGCAAGAAGGAATGTTTACTGTCAACCAGTGGGACAGTAGTCGTTAAATACGGTACACCTTGCACTAAAACCGTCATTTGCAAAATATGCTTCATTTCCTTTCCTACTTCTTTCTTGATTCGTTCTTCAAACGCCTGCCTTGTCTCTTGCGTTTCTCTTGGCGGAATCCTTACCCATTTCTGGTAATTCCCTATGATTTCTGCCACCCTCTCAACGTATACTACTTATATTCATTTTTATCAGCAACGCCCACTCCACCATGATTATCTTTCAGTCTTTTATCAAAACATTTGGTGAAGCTAAATGAAATATAACGAGAAAATTGGGGAAAACAGCTGTCAGGTGTTCTTCGGTTTAGATTACTTCTCTGGCTAACAGTGATCCATGATGCAAACCGCTTTAAGACCAATTACCTACCCATAAACTTGCAAGTTGAATTACAATCTACTCCTTACTGATGACCTGCTTCTAGATGAATATACCTAAGTTTTAGTTTGAAACTGTGACCTGTATGGTTTAACAGATTTAGAGTAAGAACAGACGCCCAATGATAACAGTCAATGATGGTAGCGCTGTATAGCCAATCGATATTGATTGTAACTGGATGGTAACATGAGAGAACTAATAGTGCTGTATTTGACCTCTCAAAGGGTTCAGTGTACCCACGATTGAGAATTGAAGAACTGGAATGAAACAGCTGTTTAATGCCCTTAAACTTTCATTAGTCTTTTGATTGATGTTGATCCGTGATGAGAATTTCTGTTGGGATCGAGTGAGCTTTTTGAAAGGAAAGCGAGAGAATTCAACCCAGAATCTACCATAAAGGTATATTGGTTCAAATTGCCTTGCATACGCTTTTTTCTTTCTTCGTATTTTCTGTGTATCTGCCTAATATTGTAACGTTACTTTGTGTATTACTTCGTTTTTTGTCCTGTGATGTTTTAGTTATTTGCTTTGATCAACATAATTTTTAGAAGGTTGCACATTAATTTCAGTTTAGCGAAACTGTATTGTCACGGAGAGATAATATTGAATCTCAGATGTAATTAGTTGTAAACAAAATAAACAGATCCTCACCTGAGAAATTGTATATTGATTACCTGTGAAAATCGAAGTGCTTACGTCATGAAGTGTAATCTGTGGCATAAAATATTCATAACAATGTAGACAAGGTAAAGGTACTGGCAACAGTATTATCTTGGTGTTGGGAGTTGATCGCCACCAAGGTTTTGATAGCTACCTTGGTTACCGTCGGGTAGCTTATACTGTATTATTTACTGGTGTAAGTGATTGTCTTATATATTCATCACTACTGGCAGGCATTTTATTGCCTTGACACACCTATAAATAAACTCTAAGTACTTATTAAACCAATTCACTGTAATCTTGTGTTACTATAATTTGTTTCTCACTTTTTATGCTTTCAGTTGTCCACGTGTTATACCTTTGGATAAATTGATCCCTTACAAAACTAGTGTGATCGTTGTATTTCACAATGAGGCATGGTCAACACTATTACGTACTGTACATTCTGTACTTAATCGTACCCCATCAGAATTACTCCAAGAAATCATTCTTGTTGATGATGCTAGTACTCAGTGTAAGTGTTTCACGTTGTTTTCTTCCTCTTGGAGTGCTTATTACCTTCATTAGATATTTTATGATGACTGAAGCTTTCTGTGCTGAATCACAGTCTTAATGGGAATATACGTACCTTACACTGATGAGTTATATTAGAGGGAAAACATGGCTGCTGTATCATTTCACTATATATCATTCAATCCTTGTATTTATGATCAACTTTTATCTGATAAAACATGTGTGACTAACTTAGTCATATTTCCATTCATTAGGCTCTGATCTTGTTTATTTGTGTCTTGGTGTGGTAGTATCAAGTGTGATACGTTACCCAATAATCTCATGTTCTATGTTGATAATGAACTTTTTTGGTATATGGAAAAGGTTAAGGACTGTAGTTCCATTATGAAACCAATAAACCATAGTGTGGAGTAGCAGGTTGCTACTAAGTTGTGTTGGCTAATTATCTGGCACGTAAAGATTTGTCAGTGGAAGGTGAAAAATCGATTTCCTTTGCTGGTAAAACCAAGAGATCCATGAAGTATAAAAATGCATCATGCATAGATGTCCAAACTGTATTTCGTCTTGGTTTGAAAATCGTTTGGAGCTGTAAATAAGATTGTTTTGGGCAGTGGTCTCTTGACACCCGAACAACCTGTCCAAGTTTTGTTCCGCGTGATTTTCTCTGCCTCGCGCGTAAGCATCAGTGAAAATTGGTCAGTATATGCGTGCGTAGTTCTCAACAGCGTGTGCAAATGTGTAGTTGGTTATCAATCTGTACTTATTCTATTAATTTTGCCATCTGCCTGAAACATATTTCAGTTGTACAGATAGGCATTATGGTATTTTTTGGTAAAGAATGCTAAATAGTTGAAGATAGTCGGCAGGTATCCTGTAACTGGGTTTCTCGCTTGTTGTAAGTCGTCAGAAAGGCGTATCCACAACCTCTAGGGAACTGATTTCCCCTCAGCGATCCAAATCCGTGTCACCCAGTACTTCAGTCAGAGGCTTTAACTAGACTGAGCGGGATGCGATTTACCTTATGTTTGTGTGGATCATACATGTTAACTAACTACTGGAGGGTGATAAGCTTCATGTTTCGTAGTCCTTAGCAAGTGCTGAATTTCATCCATTATTTTGCAGTATGATACCCAAGCCAGTCATCGTAATGGTGACTGTTTCGCATTTCAGCTCATTCAATCTACTACCCTACCTTTTATCGATCAGTCAAGAAAATTTACAACTAAAGGTTCAAGAGGGAAGGAAATCACCAGCAAAAAGTTTAGTAATGGTAAGGGCTCACATGATTCTCCTTTATTTCTATAGTTGTCTCGAAACATTGTTTCTTGACGCTATGGAGGCTTAACATCCCTACACCAGCTGTTAGAAATTTAGTTGCACATTCATCTCCTTTTTCGAATCAGTTATCTCCCGCTCCAATTAGAACTTTTTTCTGGGTTAGGTACATGACAGGTTTGTGCAACAAAGAAATGCATACAAGTGATCTCACTCACATACTGATTGCCTTCACACACATCTTTTTTGGGTATACAGGTTACATGGTTTTCTTAGGCGAAAACACTGTCGAGAAAAATATAGACATATTGGTGACTGAGTTGCTTTTGATTGCTGTTAAATATAGTTTAGTGCTTAGAAGTCTGTCTATATTGACGTCTAGTGTACAAGCAGCAAGTGTACTGATTAAAGACATAGAATATTTCTCATGAGCACAAGGTTACTTAGGTCACAATGTACGGAGAGTATTCCCGTTTGAATCTTTGAAATTAGATCGTGCAGAGACATGCATATTACCCCACAATACTGTCAGTTTTAGACGAGGAATGATGTTTATTAAGTCATGATCAAAAGAAGAAGCAAAGCAACGAAGTAAAATTTCTTTTTCCATGAGGTCACTTTCTAAATCTTGTCTTCATTGGTCTAGGCACTCCATTTGTGAATTCGAACCACACTCCATCCTCCAAAGTCTAGGCATTCAGATAGTATTCTTAGCTCTTAGACGATAGGTGTGGCTCACTGCCTAGTACACGGACCTGCGTGTAGTTGCTGAGTTAAATTTATTACTATTTATTTAAATCTTATTTTTATCTGTTATTGAATAGTAGTCGGGTAGAATTACATCATCAGCATAGTGTTCAGTTTGGTTTCGACAGACGGAGAGAGATTAAGTAGTAATGCACAAGATGGTGAGAGTAGTAAGAAAAGCATAGAACTAGACGAATTGAAAATTGTTTGTAGGTGCGAACGAAGATAGTTAAGTACTCGTTTGATAGGTGAAGAAACAAATGGTCATGATGAAGATGATGTAAGTAAAATTAGAAGAGTAACGGGAGTATTAAAACGGGTACAATATTAGATTGAACTTAATTCTCCTTTACTCCTAGTTAAGGCTTATATTTGTGAACTGCTAGTGCCTTTGCTGTGGATAAGATACTGATTTGCATTTCTTTTCAACTGTTCGGTCAGATTTTTTAGATAATTTGAAGACAGACTCTGGCAGACTTGGCTAAAATTGATTAGATGTTGAAAAATCGAGCTGGATCCCAATTTTTTCGTAGTTATCGAATGTGGATCGCATGACGAAGCTACAGACATTTGATCTTAAGTTTCTTTGAGGCCCTCATTGTACATACTAGTAGGAGATGGAATGAATACATTGACTGTTTGAGATACAATTGTCAAATGGCGTTTATTGGCAACAAGATATAAAGTCTTTAATTGTCTGTTTGATTTGTATAGTTGGTGTGTAACCTATCGAGACTGGGGAAACTGCTGAGTGAATAGAGCCAAATATATTGTTTACTGTCGTTCACTCATCGTTTATATGTTCTCTACGTTGTTCAGTCATATGTTCATTTTACCTGAATTCTAAGGTGTATGTGAACCTGTAGCAACTCATTCTCGTTGAATGATGCGTAGCTGACATTGTCACTGGAGAGCAACCAACCTCATTTTGTCTAGTCCTGTGCGCTGACCGAGTTTTATCGATCATTTTGTAACGTGGCCACCAAGCCAGGAGGCTGACTATCGAGGTGCACTTTGTTAGATGTTATTTGGTTAGAAGCAATTGGCAGGAAGCCCTGGGCCTTGGTTTCGTGCTTGTTGACACTTGTCAGTAAGCCGTATCTGCAACCTGGCGGGAACTGATGTCCTCCCAGAACTCAGGACTAGACAACATGAGATTAACTGCTCTTCAATGACCAGTCAGTGTATGTAATTTAGGTCAGTCGCGGCCTGAATAGTTCACTGGTAACGTCGCTAACTGGATCACTGAGTGACGCGGGTTCGGATCTCACAGGGAACATCAGCTCCCTCGAGGTAGCAGATACACCTTGCTGACGAGTGCCAACTAGCACGGTACCTAGGTCCATGGCTTCCTGCCGATTGCTTCCAACCAACTAAGATGCATAACTGTAACTAGTCATTCGCTATTCATCACACTCCGAAAACATCAGCTAAATATCTGACGGTACTTACACAACTATTTTCATTGTAAATGCAACTCGAAGACAGTCACTTCAAAAACTAAAATATTATCCAGTATATCGCATATCCAAAATGGTCATTTATTGAAATATAGATGAATGCGTATGAGATGATGAAGGATACATTTTGAATCTTACTCTTGGCAACTTCCAGGTACTATTACAGTGTGATCTAAAACAGTATTAAAACCTTCATATGATATAACTTGTATGTTAAGCTCATTGAGTCACTTGAGCTTAGTGAATCAAGAGCTAGTTCAGTTGCCAGAGCAGAAGGTCGGTATCTGGAGTATACTGATGCGAATCTTTCCTTGACTCAGGTTTTCATTTCACTTTTGATCACCATCAATAAAAGTAGTCTATTGAACTCAGGTAATCTAATCGATAACTAAGAAATTAATTAGTCTTATGGTGAAATATCTCTAACACAAAATAATCACCATATAGGCGATTTTGTGTTCACTTGCTTTAGTTCTCTAATGCAGCTTTACTTACATATATGTGTGCATATTCATTTATTTTCCTATCTTTTCTAGCTCATTTAGGTCAACAATTAGATGCCTATGTAAGTACATTTAGTCAACGTGTGCACATTGAACGTATGCATAATCGAAGTGGTCTAATTCGTGCGAGACTGCAAGGAGCAAAAGTTGCCACAGGCAAAACGCTTACATTCTTAGATGCACACTGTGAAGTGACTGTTGGCTGGTTAGAAACTCTACTTGTACATATTGCAGAGAATCCAAAACGTATAGTCTGTCCTATTATTGATGTAATTAATCATGATACTTTTGAATATCTTCTTGGTAAGTAAGTTTTATTCTTAGAAACAAGATATTCAGTTTCATCTTTTCAATTTTTGTCTATGTAATTGCTTACCACATAAATTGATTAGTATCCTATTCTCTACTCAACCGACTTCTATGCTTACAGTTTAGCATACATTCACACTCGTGACTTCATGATCAAATTTGCTTGGTGTTGGCTATCAGTGAAATCTACAACCTATGCTTCTTATTTGAAACTCGTCAAGTAGTATAAATGCCTCCCAGCGAGTGGAGGTGTTCGCACTTGGACTCGAACCAGACGCTCATTGCCTCAAACACTAGACAGTTATTCACTAGGCAACTAAACTAAAAAAGCGGCTTCCTGTGTGATGCATTTCACTTGTTATTTATGGTACTTGTTATATCCCGTTGGTTATTATGCTGAGCGGAACTGACCCATGTCTGTTGAAATAAGGGCGTCTTGATATTGTCTCAAACTGCATTATGATATGATTTGTTTGGAGGTGTATAGCAGTGGAATCCAAAATGCGCGTTTCATTTTGTGGTTCTGCCCACCCTTGGTTTACTTAGAGTACTCAAACGATATTGTATTGTTAAGCGAAGACGCCAACGAAATGCAGTCTTCTGAACATCTTGAACACAATCGGCATGCGTTTCGCACCTGTCAGATGTAAGTTATTTCTTCAAGACTTGTTTGCAACAATCCGTAGTTTAAACAAGGGGTAGAAAGTGGTGGGATGCGCTGACCACTTCACTCACTTGGGAAGTTGCATCATTTCGAATGGTTGTTTTTTCTAGTGAAGTGTCAGCTCAAATGCAAAAAGCCCCTTCAGCACTTACCAACATATCCCAGCTTTGACGCTGGCGAGATATCCTACTGTCTATTGAAAGACGAATATTCTACGAAGCAGTTCACGCTGTTCTGTTGCATGGGTGTTGAAAGTAGAAGACATGAAAAGGCAATATGTTTTTGATCACAAGTGTCTTCACAGTGCTTCTCATATATAGTGAAATCATCGTTTGGACATTGTTGAAGAGCAGTGGGCTATGGAGCCAAGACAGTCGATGAAGTTGTGAACCTTCAGTGACTGAGATGGACTGGGTGCATGCTTAGCCACTACCTACCCCGACGTGAGGCGTTAGCCGAACTAGCAGAAGCAGACTCATTGTGGTCAGTTCATGATTTGGTACCAGTCCATAAATCGTCTGACTGTTGATCTGAGCCATTTACGATGTGGATCGCCTTACCGGAGTTGTCAAGATGATAGGAATCAGTGGTTGAAGACTCTTGCTGACATTGCTGGGAATGGGTTACAATGATGCTGGTGTATTCATCCTTTGACATCTTTGAATTTTGCACGTTTACACTAATTTCCACTTACTTCTCGTCTCTCCTCTCATAATTTACTATCACCTGCTTTACTCACTTGTTCTTTGCATTCTGCTTTAAAGTGGTACCCTTCAGCACTAGATTTTACCTTAATTTTTCTACTTACCTGTATGATTCTGTTTTAAGCGATGTTGCATCTCGATGTTTGGAAGCAATCAGCAGAAATCCCTGGAAGTAAATTTCATTATTTTTCCTACTTTTCAGTCAGAAGTATTCGAAACCTGACAAGAACTCATGCCATTATTAATACTGATTCCGGCTTAGTCCAACTCTGTAGTCAAAGTTATATTTAATTTATGGCTTTAAGTACAAACCGTGTACGACTTAGGGACTCACATATGCTCTATACAAAATAATATGGAAACCTTTATACAACAGGAAAGCGAAACAAAACAGAACCATTTTGTGGGGTATTGGACACGCAGTCTGAAAGTAACACCCGAAGAAGCACTCACTATTATAGTCTTAGTTCTCAGTAATTGAATCGCCAGAAGAGATGCTACATGATTGCCACTTGTTTCTACCCTGAGGGATGTCTTATCTGAAGCCACTGACCCCGACTGATAGCTGCTACCTTGACGTGGTGGTCAGGCTTGCATATCACAATGACCCAACGAGCTATGCTGGTGGAACGCTTGTTCCCTCGAGGTCCTACCATACCAGAAAGGTCTGTTGGGTAGTGGTTAGACGAAAAGCAGTTACCGTTATAGTGTAAATTGCTACACTATGATGGGGGTCTGAGGGCGAAGTCGTACTGCTGCTAGCTGGATGGGGTGTGACAGCAGTAAGGTGTTTCCCTTGGATGACCAGCAGTGCCAAGCTGATGCTGCCTTCTCAGTGGAAGGGGGGGTTAGAAAAGGTCGGCCCCAAAAATAACACACTCCACCACGCCCCACGGTCTGCCGGGCCGGCGGTGTTGGTTCACTTGTCGTTTCCTTTCGACCATCCGGCCCCAAAAATACAAAAGTCCAAAATAATCATACTCAAAAGGCTGGGTGTGACAGGCCTCAAGCAGATGTCCGATGGGCTCTGCGGTCACACAAATCTCTTTCAGGTACCTTAAGAAGAAATAGCCTTCCACGGTGTGGGCAGCCGGGAAGTGTCAACCGCCCTCACAACTCTGTCAGCACCCAAGTTTCTTCTGACTGCTATCCTCCTCCTCCATCATTACCTTCTAATCTTCCTTCACGTCTCTTAATTAATGATGCTGCATCATCTTCAATTTCTCCTACCTCTGCAGCCTTCGACAACGATCTGAGTCCACAGAACAGCATCCCTGGTCTCCTTAAACCACGCTCCAAATTACATATTGGAGCCTTCAATGTCCGCACCCTCCGTCAAATTGGCCAACAGGCTTCGTTGGCAAAGACTCTAGCAACTCGGGCATGGATGTGTGCTGTGTTTGTGAGACACGCATACAGGACCCAAGTGTGGTTATTCACCTGACCTCTCCTGACCAATCTGGTGAATCTGCAAAATTCACCCTTCGAGTTTCTGGAGATTCGATAGCTAGCTCTCGTGGTCTTGCAGGTGTAGGTATAGCATTAAGCACCAGGGCAGAAAACTCACTACTAGACTGGATCCCAGTTGATAGTCGCCTCTGCGCTATGAGGCTGAACGGCACAGTGAGAACTAAAAGGAATAGTGAGACTCGCCGTTGTCTCTTTGTAATCTCTGCTTACGCACCCACTGACTGTAGTTCGGATGAAGTGAAGGACGAGTTCTACCATAAACTGTCTAACCTCCTCTCGAAAGCCAAACGTTCGGACGTAGTGGTTGTTGCAGGTGACCTCAACGCACAGGTGGGTAGACTGAGTGAGGCAGAAAGGCACTTAGGTGGCACTTTCGGAATCCCAGCTGAACGTACAGATAACGGTGATCGCCTATTACAACTATGCTCAGATAACCGCCTATTTTTAGCCAGCACAAATTTCAGACATAAAGAAAGGCACTGTCTGACCTGGCGTCCACCGAGCTCGACTCAGCGATGGACACAGATAGACCACATTGCTATTAGTCATCGCTGGAGAGGATCGGTGGAAGACTGCCGCTCCTTCTGGAGTACGTGTTTGGACAGCGATCATGCGTTGGTCCGAGCACGTATATGCCTGCGTCTCAATGGACGTAGAAAAAATTTGGCAACAAAACCACTACGAGTTCTGCTGGACAACGAAAACACCAAAGCCGTGTTCAGTGAGAAGTTGGCTAGGCAGTTATCGGAACAAAAGACTGTCACTCATCCAGAAGAAGCTTGGTGCCATCTTCAGTCTACTGTAAAAGCAGCACTGGAGACTGTAGCCGACTCCAAGATAATGGCTAAAAAGAGCCAGTGGATATCAGCAGCTTCTTCCAAACTAATGGATGCACGTGAATGCATCCCTGCAGGCTCTGAGTACAATGAAGAGCGAGCGCAACTTAAAAATAAACTGACGAAAAGTCTGCGCAACGATCGTGAACAGTGGTGGGCAGCAAAGGCTAAAGAGATGGAAAAGGCAGCGGCGATCGGTAACAGTAGACAGTTATTTAGACTTATTAAGGAGACTGGGGGAAATGGTCAACAACAGTTAGTGAGGCTATAGCGGAGAAGGACGGATCCATGATTCACTCGCAGAAGAGACGACTGGACGATGGGCAGAACACTTCGAGGAACAGTTTAACTGGCCTCCAGCCACGATTGCGCTGCCCGCTATCCAGTCGGACCCTGAATGGGACATAGAGACAGGTCCCCCAACACTAGAAGAAGTTGAGAAAGCGGTAGGTAGCCTGAAACGACGAATGGCAGCAGGACCAGACGGACTACCTGCTGAGGTATACAAGAATGGTGGTAGAGTGCTCTTAGTCAGGTCAACGGAAGTGTTAGCCAGTATATGGGAATCAAATACGATCCCCTCCGACTGGTCTAAGTCACTCATCATCCCAGTCTTCAAGAAAGGCGAGAAGTCCTCTTGTGATAACCACAGAGGAATCAGCCTGACGAACATAGTGTCTAAGATCCTAAGTTCTATAATTCTCCGACGCCTGAGTGGAGCTCGGGAACAGCAAGCCCGAGAAAAACTTCCTCGTCACTCTTCTTGCAATCAGATAATACCACAATACATCATGGTAAACAGAGTCAAATGCTACCTTCAGGTCAAGAAATATGTCAATTATCGCCAACTGATAAGCATGCCTGTGTTCCATGACCGTGTGAAGGGTGAGGATCTGATCGATACATCCTTGTCCAGGTGGGAAACCTGCCTCGTTTGCTTGAAGTTAATGTTCTCGAGCTTTAGCTAGGATTTTGAATATGATGTTGGTAGAACTGGTTCCCCTACAACTACCACAAGAAGAATCAACTGTTTAGACCAGTGAGTTACAGCTTTCCACTCCAATTAGGTCCAAAATATGGAGGTCTCACTCTTGTCACCAGGTTACACAGAGGTTGACCCAACCACAGATGAATTTTCGTTAGACCTAGAATATGCTGATGACATAGTCCTGTTAAGTGAAGATGCTGACAAGATGCAGAGTCTTCTGAACACTGAGTGGCACTTTGACAATGTTTGGGATGTGGTTCTCACCACCCAAATGCAAATTTTTGCTTCACGACTGGTCTCCAGAGGTGCCGTGGGTAACAACAGAGAGTGAAGGGGTTAAGTGTGTTGACCACTTCACTTACCTGGGAAGTAGGAACAGCCCTAGTGGGTCAGTTGCCGATGAAATCTCTGCACGGATACAAAAGGCTCGATTGGCTTTTGCCAATTTGCGGCACCGATGGCACCGCCGTGATATCCGTTTGTCTATTAAGGTTCGCGTGTACTGCACAGCAGTCCGGTCTGTTCTACTATATGGCTGTGAAACATGGCCATTGAAAGTGGAAGATATGAGAAGGCTTCAAGTGTTTGACCATCGTTGTCTTCGTAGTATAGGCCGTATTCTGTGGTGTCACCACGTGAGTAATGCAGAAGTCAGGAATAGAGTTTTAGGGAGAAGAGGTAAATCAGTTGACGAGGTTATGAACCTTCATCGATTGAGATAGTTGGGACGCGTATTACGTATGCCCAGTCACCGATTACCTCGTCACACAATGTTGGCTGAGGTGGGTTCAGGCTGGAAAGAGGCCCGAGATGGCCAGACTAAAACATGCACCAATGTATGAAGTCTCTGACTGTTGATTTGAGCCATGTGGGGCGATGTAGACTAGGTGTTTGGGGTCGGTGGGACAAGAGGAACCAGTGGTTGGAGACTCTAGGGGATATGGCTCAGAACTGATGTCAGTGGCGCAGATGATTAATTGGTTGAAGTGACTGAGTTGCATAATTTCTCGGGACCCATTCAGGAAGTTGCGGAGAAACTGCGGTTACTAAACGTATACAGCTGTCATTCATCCCGCAACTCCATGCCAAACACTGACCGCCTTTCAGCTTCTCGCAGAACTACTCACACGGTTTATTCTACTGAATGCGAGTAATTCGACAGAGACAATGATTAAAAAGTATGAAGAGTTCGAACATCCTCAGCTTCGATTGACCATTGTTCGCTAGCATAAAGCACAACTACCTACACTGATGCATTATATACTCGATCGTCTACTGGTAGGCTACTGCTCACCTATACCTTCTGGATATCAAACAGTTAGTCTTGAATCTGACCTAGTTTGGTATTCGGTTACAACACTAGGTGCAACCAGTTTGGTAACGTCGACCCGTTTTGGTTCTTTTGAATAAGCAGCATCACTATTTCAGTTCGGTTAAATGTAGTTTCATTATTTACTGTATTTTTACACGGAATGTGCTTTATTTTTCTGTCATTGTTTTTTAAATTTTATGTTGCAGTTACGAACTATAGAGGATATGTATATATATATTCACTAATGATCTCATTCGATTTCATGTAATATCTGTCATTCTTCGTACATTGGTTTGGATGATATATTTCGCTTTCATAAATCATCTTGACGATAAATGTGAACTTTTTTTGTTAACACAAACCAGGTTCTGATCGTACTTGGGGTTCTTTTGATTGGCATTTTTCTTTCCACTGGGAGAGTGTTGTAGATAGAGAACTCTACCGTATTAACTATGATCATAACAAACCAATACGAACGCCTACTATGGCTGGCGGCTTATTCACTATTGTTCGTGATTATTTTATGAAGTGAGTTATATATATTGGAATGTAATTTTGCGCCATTCTTCTTAATTTTTTTCTTGTCGCTTGCTAAATTCCACTGAAGATTTGTACGTAGCTATTGGCAGTTTATCATTTGATAGCCCAGATGCTTGGATTGGGGTTTCATTCTTAAAACTGTATATCGAACGTGAAATTAATGCATTCTGTGTAAACTCTGATTAATTGTCTCGGGGAGCAGTACAGGTTATGACAGCGTGTCCAAAAAGGTATCAAAGTAACTAGAAGTAGCCATGAGTTATATGCAACTGTTGATCTGAGTAGTTCATTACTGGCGTTGCTTGTGCTGTCTAAATTGTTTTTTTAGAACCGCTATCCTTGAGTATTTGAAAAATTTAACGATGTGAAGTTTTGTATTACTGCGCCAGTTTTATGGCTAGTAAACTAGGTTGATTTAGTTGTTATATTCTTTAGTTGTGCACTCTATCCGAAACCATAACATATACCGTTTCACGTTTACGAGGACTAAGATATAAATCGAATACTCATATCAGATTTATATTCGATTGGAAAGTTAACTGACTGTTTAAACAGTTTGGTGAAGACGCCAAGTGATACGATTGAACAATAGTCTTAGTAAAATGTAACCTGTTGGTACGATGCAAACAATCTCACAGCCACGCAACAAGATTCAAAGGAATGATGGTCGTGAAAATCAACTTAGTGGAATGAAGAGATAAATTGATAACCAAAGTTTCTTTTATCGAATCAACATCGGACACATGTAACCGGACTAACTTAACATCTATTCCGGATATCTGGAAAATTTTACTACCCATATCACAGATAAAAGGGAAGAAATATAACTATAGAAAAGTAGAATGTGAAAAATAAACAATAGCTTATGTTCAGAATGTTATCCAGTAAATAATACTGTTTCACTGTGTGAACTATACAACAAAAACTGACATGGAACAACTAAGAGGACTTAATACTTGAACTACTTTTAGACACTTTTCGTGACTCCGGTCAACAAAGAAACCGAATGCAGATCAACCACAGCGAATTTGGGTTCGATGGTTTTTTTGCAACCTTCCAAATAAATGTCAGAAGGACATCGTGCAGCTTTCTCAGCTTAGGTTTTATGCAAAGTGGGTTACCAAGAAATCAGCTTCTTAGACCGTTGACTATTACTGTGACAAGAGGTTTCGAGTTTCAAATTAGGATCTACGGTTCAGTATGATCAGGACAATCCTATTGGTTATTTTGATATTTCAGTTGACCGATCAAAGCGCATTTCGTGTACTTGAAAATTTTAAACGTTCAGTATACTTTTGTTTGATAAAAGTCTTTCTTACTTACACAGGCCGACCTTTTGCTTCAGATTATCCCATGGGCAAATGAAGTATAAGTTACTGGTGAAAAAAAATGTCCGCTTGCGTCTCAGGGTATCACAATGGTCACTTCAATAGATAATTATGATTTAATGTCATCTATATCAGTGAAGCTTGGGTTTTTCAAATGAAAACAGTAATAATTATTTTAGTTGGTTAGCAGGAATCGGCAGGAAGCCTTTGACCTAGGTTCCGTGTTTGTTGAAACTCATCAGCGAAGTGTATCCGCAACCTCAAGAAAACGGATGTCACCTCAGATATTTAAGACCTCAAAACTCAGTGATGTGTTGAACGACTGAATAATGTACACAATCCAATCTCATAACATGTCAGTCGCGATCCAAATAGCTCATTGGTTAGACCGCTGACCGCAACCTTGAGTGACATGGGTTCGAATCCCTAAGGCCTCATAAGTCTTCTTGAAGTTGCAGCTGCGCCTTGCTGAAGACTTCTGAAAAACATGAAATTGAGGTCCAGGAATTCCTGCTAATTGTTTACAACCAACTAATATGTCAAAGTGCAGTTTGACAGTGAGTCTCCTAGCTTGGTAACCATATTGCAAAATAATCGATAAAACTCGGTCAGCAAACACGACTACATAACATGAGATTAGTTAATTTCTAGAGATGAACCGAATCACTTGATTTCGGCAATATTTGTGAAACAATTCGAATATGTAATCTTCTGGTGTATTTATTTTTTGTACATTATTTTCATTTGAAATGATTATATCATCTAAATCATGTCAATGATAACAGTACCTTAAACAAGGATATGTAAGGACCAGCTGTTGTCAGGTTTTTTCTTCCTAGTCTGTGGGTAAGATTTTTTTTGAAGTTAAAAACCAAACTTAAGTTTGGCTTCGTAGGTTTCCTCAACCAGTTCCAGAATCTGCGGTTCGTGTTAACTATGTCAGGAGTAGTTTTATGGTTCCTCGTTGTGCGTTAAAGATTCCACTGCTATCCATCGTAAGGTTCCCAATTGATTTCATCATGAACTTGCAGAAATATAGTTTGAAAATAACCTGAAAATGCACAACAGTTCATAATATGACGTAAGGACATATTTGGATGACTGCAGCAATTTCAAAAGGAAGGTAAAGTACATATTGGTTATCGGAAAACCTTTGCCTTCTAATAACGTCCTCGCTTCTTTCTTCTCCCCTAAAATTTTCTCCTTATAATTTTGCTTATATTATCCCGTCATGGATAACCCTCGGGCTTTTGAAGCGATCAGTTTCGGGTTCGTGTCTTAATGAAAAGAATATCGCTCACTGAAAGGCAGGCACATTCAGTTGACGAGTCCTAAATAGAACGAGACGCGTGTCCTGGATTCTAGTACTGGCGACTATGGATCAATAATATCGATTTTCTCCTTCATCTATCATACACTTCGTTCCCTTCATGAGTTTGAATACCGCAAGAGGAACAAGTTTTTCGATATGCATTGTATTTCGTTGCATTCTCTTCAGCTACTTACAGGCTATTAATAGTTAGTTTATGAAATGAACGAAGATTAACATAATTCAGAATTTAAAATCAGCACTTCTTTAGAGGATAGTAAAGTTGGATTAAAATTGTTATATTATATTGTACGAAGTTCAGAGTTTGATTCTATGAAAAGAAGTGATAAGCAGTCACACAGTCAGTAGACTTAAACAGTAAAAAGATGAAGCTGAGTAAAAAGCAGCTAACTACAGTCAATAAAAGGACAGATAGAATCAACGTAGAACCTCCAGCACAAGTGCATCGGTTCAAGTCGCCATATTCACCGTAGTATACAAAGAACAGTCAGTTAAAAAAAGAGTGACATCAAAGTTGACAAAGTAGTATTAAAGAATAAGCAATCTGAAGATGACAATAAGTGCAAATATTCAGACGTTGAATGTATCCGCGCCATTGTGACCAAATTTCAGCCGTGTCACCAAGAGTTCTCAACCGCTGATTCCTACCGTCTCCGGAACCCCAACCCGGTAGTGTACATCTCGTACGACTCAGATCAACAGTCAGAGACTTCATGAACTGCTGCCCGGTCTTGCTCCGGCCACACTGAAACTTCTTCTAACCTAATCCAACTTCACCTAGCATATCTTGTCGAGGTAAGTGGTGGTTCGGCATGCGCAGCACGTGTCCAAGCCACCTCAACCGATGAAGGTTCACAACCTCGACTTGCTTGTCTTGTACCCTTCGCCTGATCTCAGTATTACTCACATGGTAATTATGCCATACCTGAGCAATGCTCGGAAGGCACCTATGATGGAAAACCTGTAACCGCTTCAAATCTTCTACTTTTAATGGCTATGTTTCACAGCTGCATAACAGGACAGAATGAGCTGAAGTATACTCGTTCTTTCTAGGTAGTCGAATATCTCTCAAGTCGGCACCACAGCGGACGCAAGTTGGCAAACGCCAAACGGACTTTCTGTATCCGAGATGCGATTTCATCAGTAAACAACCGGTTTGGGCTGATGCAACTTCCCGAGTAAGTGAAGTGATTGACACATTCCACCACTTCACTCCCTTTAATTGAACTTGGAGTACTCGCAGCAGGCTAGTCATGGAGCATCATCTTACATTTGACAAGTGCTAGTGAAACGGATCCCAAGTACACTCAGATTTATGCCCAACACGTTCAGAAGACCCTGCATTTTGTCAGCATCTTAACCCAACAGAACAATATTTTCTGCATACTCCAAAGACAGGAAAGAAAAATCGGGAAGAGAGCGTAAATCTCTAAATTCTTCGCCTAGATAGTTGTAAGTCAACTACTGATTCTTTGAATCCAAGGAACAGGCTTTAGCTTTTTAATTGAGTAGACTTCTACACTTCCAATCAATGTCGAATAAGCATTACCAACAGTTTTAATGTCATTTTGTTGTTAATGTATTGTCAAGCAAACTACTATCACTATAGGTCTTGATGTCATTCTGTACCTTTGGATGTAGGTTTCTTGGAATCTTTTCAAAAAAGCGAGTAGCTAACTGTCTTTGTGCCCTCCCATTGTACCTTCCTTGGCACAAATGTAAGACTAAACAATTGAAGAAAACATACGAAATCCACTGTATACTGAAAAACTTGTTCTTATTGTCCTATAATATTTATTTAGGATTTGATTATCTACTGACTTCATCTATCAACACTACGTAACTCTTATTTTTCTGTTTTAATCTACTTTACTAAAATAGCTGCACTTTTTTCATTATTCTTATCACAATTAGTGTTTCTAATAACATTCCTATTATTATTATTATCATTATCATTATTATTCCTGTGGTAAACTTGAAAATACAAGAATTTCAACGAATATATATTTTATATGAACTATGATCCAGATTTGACCGAATAGTATGGCAAACACTGGACGATGAGTAAAAGGTTGACATTTGGCGTAGATTGTTTTGTGTAAGTCACAGCGTGTTTGAAATCAAATTATTCCAACGTTTCTCACGGAAGTCTGCTCAAGGAGATTAAATGCACGTTTTTGGATTCATTTATATATTCTCGGACCAGACTTCTGCGCAAAACCTTGGAGGCTATGACTTACACAAATACAATCTATATCCAGTGAATATATATATTTTTCTTTAGCGACTCATCAGGCTCTATCTTTAAACACAATACTTCACACTAATAAACATACACGCGTCGATTGGTTGAATGAACCTGGATATTTCCACTTACCTATTCATTTAAATAATTTTGGGATTAAAACGATGTAACAGTTTATTTCATAGGATATCGAATAATAATTAGTGAATAAAACCATTAACACATATATGGAGCTATCAATTACGTACCTATTACGATTAAAAACAGTGAATACCTACGCGATATAAGGCCAAACCATGGCTATATCAAATAGTCAAATTGATAATCAATATGATGCTTTCCCTCTCTCCAAATCAAGTAGATTTGGATTGGGCTGAGAAGTCTTAACTAGACAACCAGTGTGAGTACTATCAAGCAATAGTCACGCGTTAAAAATTCACATAGCAGTAGGACAAAACCCTTAGTGATTGATGTGAAATAAAATCTGATCAGCAGCCGGGTCTCGTAGTTCAGTTGGTAAACCACTGGGCTAGAAAAATGGTTTCTGGTTCGAATCTTGACATAATTCACATTTTCATTTTACCTTCAGTCATCACGCAGTGTGGAATAAAAAAATTTCACTCAAAAAATGAAAATGCTAAATCACATTAGTATACATTATGTACGAATTGGCTAAGTCATTTGCGTATCTGAATTATGTTAATTTCATCTTTGTGGTTGACCATGGAAAGATAAGAGAATGTTGGATATATACATGGATTGTTCATTGGAGGGTAACCCATTTCATGGTTTCCAGGCTGAATAATTGCAGTAGTTTCAAGAAGGAGAATTCTTACTGCCCTTGATATTCGATTCGGTCTGTCGGTGCCTTATGGATTACTTTTAAATCAAATTTCATGCTTACATTGTGACCAGTGTCGATGAGGTAAGACTCACTAGAACATTTAGTCTTCTTTACCCTCCCTTTCACTAACCATACCAGGAAATGTTCTTACGCACGTTGTGAAAGGACTCACGTAGTGTTTCCCGAATGCACTGTAGCAGTTTGATTTATAAATACACAATAATATAGACGTATGAGAATCATATTTTTCAGATATGGTGGTAAGGTGCATCTGTTGTTTAAAGTTAATCTCAGGTTGGATGCAGGAAACATCTTCACTGAGTTTTGAAGTGTACTTGCAATAATTCTGGCTGGATTACCATCCTCTAAACTAAAGCTTGATGAATATTTGCTTCTTGCTTCTGGTGGAGATGATGAACCCATCCGTTCTTTCTACTATATTCTTAATGAAATTTTCGGAATATCTATTCTGTCTGAATGTGACACTAAAATGAATCTGTAAAAGTATATATACTACCCACTCCAGGATTGTTCGTTGACCAGTATTCAAGTTCCTTTGGCTCCTCGATATGTGTATATTTCCTACTGTGAAATATTGATTTTTTTTGAAGGTAGAGACTGATGAGAACTTTACCGGAATGTGTACTTGTTCAAATTCTTGCCTTTGCAATTATTATTATTATTATTATTATTATTATTATTATTATTATTATTATTATTATTATTATTATTATTTAGTTGTATGTTTCAGCTACCCTGCCATCACTTCATTGAAAGTCTCCATGATTGGTTTTATCTTTTATGTACATATAGCTAAAGTTGTGCATGTTAAGTCTTGAATAGGTGTAATTGGAAACAATACTATTCGCTCACATATTTTGTTCTAATTTTGATAGTGGGCATTTTCAATTATTTTCCAATGTCATTTCTGGATATTTAGCTTGGGACCTACGATGAAGGAATGGAGATATGGGGTGGTGAAAATATTGAATTGTCATTTCGTGTATGGCAGTGTGGTGGCGAGTTATTGATTGATCCATGCAGTCGTGTTGGGCACGTGTTTCGTAAATCTTCACCGTACACTTGGCCAGGTGGTGTCAGTCATATATTATATAAGAATTTCGCACGGACTGCACTAGTTTGGCTGGATCAATATAGCGATTTTATTTTATGATGAATCCGTGTAAGTTAAGCAAAAAATGATGACAAGCAAACTGATTCTTTAAATCTTCACGCGTTTTAAATAATGTATTGCTAGTGTGTGAAAAATTTGATAGATTACTAAAAGAAGTGTGTTTAACTTGAACATTTTGCTTTCCCAGTGGTCTTGCTCGTATGGAAGTTTGATGACATGTTTCTGTCACCAATGCTTCATGCCTTCTCTAGGACTTTGATCAATTATCCATTGCAGTAGTCCTGTTATAACTCGGATAGGTGGTCATAGTCTTTATGATCTGTATGGTACTTTTGATTTCCCATTGCTATGCTGGGTCGAATTGCTTGACCTCTATTAGCAGATGGAATCCTATGCGGATGCCTCGATCCTGCTGGATATTCATGCTGTTATATTAATCTTGGTGACCAGCAGTGGGATCCAGGACGCATATTTCGTCCCATTTGGGACTCGTATGCTAGATGTGCCTGCACTCCAGTTAGTGATGTTGTTCCCATTGAAACTTGGACCCAGTATCCATCGCTTCAAACGCCAAAGCGTTATTCACTAGGCCACTGGGTTAATGTAAATATATTGTTTCGCTTACGTTGGGCTGTATTTCCTTTGATAGTTGTAGTTATACAGTGACTAAATGTTTCAAACTGATCCGCATTTATCTCTTGATCTACTTTCATGCTTTTTATCACTGACTGGGTTGAAGACAACTCACTCCTTTGGGAATTTGAATCCATTTCACTCAATGCTGAATTCGGTGACTGCACTGACGGTCTATTTCAATCTCGACCGACTTGCTATATTGAAATAGGGGTGTATTCAGTACATGTATAGGCTGCGGGATCGCAATAAATATACACCTTTTGTAAATGCTAATCAAAGCCTATCAGTCAAGTACACAAAGTGATCTCTCTAAGTTGATCTCAGTAGGTCAATCAAAGTCAACTTCCGTATATTGACAGTGAGTTTAACGGTCACACTGAATAATAAGATGCTATCGTCACCTCGTCGAAACATTCATAAGCTTGCATACTGCATTTGATTGATATATCTTTCAATTAGCTGTCATCAGGCTTCCCTCATATATATCAACAATCAACCAGTCATAGTGAATCCTCTAGTCCCTGGTAGAAAGGTAATGAAGTATGTGAATAACTATCCAGTTAATAACAATAATAAATATTTTATTGCTTAGCCTTGAGATTATAAGAATAAGGAGAATAGCATGGTGCTACAGACATTTAAATAGTCGATTTAGGTCAAAAATTGAGTGACGTTAATTGCCACCATAACAACTATGGAAGTGACTAATTAAAATTTTGTAGTTAATGGAAAAATTACCTTCCCAGTCGGAATGGGGAAATTTTATAGATCATTTCAGTTTTTGCTAAAGTGGCCTTTAAAGTCACTCCAAAACTTACTAAGTAAAAGTTGCGTAACTTTAAGGAATAAAGTATGCAGTCAATCAAAGCTTGAAGAAATAAGGCGTGTATTTGAAGAGAGTTGAAGAAAATAAATTTATTTTTGAAATCATCTATGGCAACAGCAGACATAAGGGTTGTGCAAAATTGTTCCGCATACACAAAAACAATTTTAAAAAAAACCTCATATCCATATCCTCAGCTTTGCCTGATGAACAAATACGAACTCCATTTGAAAGTTTTAGTTGGATGTGATAGATGATTTTCAGTGTTTTGGGGTCTTACTATCACATAACCACTATTAACCAAGTGTGACGGAATTGCATTTCGTATTGAATTCACTTGTTTCTTTCGTAGCCACGAAAGTAAATGCTCAGCAATACCCTTTTTTAACTACCTAGTGTTACAACTGATATAGCTTTACTCACAGGAGCCACTGAATTGCTGAATACCCACGGAGGTGCCGAAACTGGGCAGCTTGTATTTTGTTTGATTGACGAATTACAAAATGATTACAAAAGATTAGCAGCATAGGAGGTTCTTCTGACAACTCTAGACAGCCTCTCTACCAGAACTTCAGTGGATGCATCCCGGAGCTTCATGCATGATGATTTCTTCTGGACAGTAACTTATCTAGATCTTTTACTCATTTTGTTCACTTCACTTTGTGATACTATGACATTAAACCATTTCTATCTGACTAACAAAATTAACGTACAAGCTCACAGACAAGTGCATTGGCTCAAGTTGCCACACTTCACAATTGTACAAAAAAACAGAAGGACAGCAGAAGAAAGATATCAAAGTAGATAAAGTAGTGTAAAAGAATAAATAATTTGAAGATAAAGGTTAGTGCGAATATTGAAGCTTTAAAATATGTCGAGTGAATATATCTGCTTCATTGTGACCAAATTTCAGCCATGTCAACCACTGATTTCTGTCGTCTCAGGGACCTTAACCTGGTAATCTACATCTCCTCACATGACTCGAATCAACGGTCAAAGACTTCATGAACTGGTGAAGATGTTGGTCTTGCCACCCTTTACTCTCTTCCAACCTAATCCAACTTCGCCTAGCATTGCACGTCGGGGCAGGCGGTGGCTCGGCATGCACACTACATGTCCAAATCACCTCAGTCGATGAAGGTTCATAACATCACCAATCGACTTCCCTGTCTTGTCTGGTATCCTTCGCCTGACTTCAACATTGCTCACATGGTGATGCCACTAAACGCAAGCAATGCTACAACGATATCGGTTATCGAAACCAGGTAGTCGCTTCAAATCTTTTACTTTTAACGGCCGCGTCTCACAGCCATACAACAGGATAGAACGAACTGTATAGCATAACAAGGATGAATGAAAGAAAAACGAAACCCACCATGCCGGGTAGGGTGAAGATAGTGTGTAGATACGTCTGTACCGCTGATGTCGATTGTGAGCCGTATCACCGAGTCTTGAAAGCACCGATTTTAGTTGTCATGTGAACCTGAACAGGGAGAGTTTACATTTCCCTACATGCTTCAGACCAAGAGTCAGAGGCTTCATTGACTGTTGCTATGTTTTAGTCTGGGCACCTATAACCTTTCTTCCAATTTTTAGTTTAATAAAGCCTACTTTATGCGACTAGGAAGGCTGTTGCTAAGCATGCACATGTTCTAACCAGAAACTTACGTTTTATGTCTTAAACTATACTTGACTGTTGTAATATAGACTTGGTGCCGCACAACAAACTGTCTATACTACGAAACTGTCGCTGGTAGCGCACCTGAAGCCTTCTCATATTCCCTAAGTTTATTTGGCATGTTTCACAACCATGTAGTAGAACAAAACTAACTCCAACACCGTACACTCTATATTTGATAGACAATCGGATATCATGGTTGCGTGATAAATATCTTAAGTTCATAACAGCCAATCAAGCCTTCTTTATTTGTGCAGAGATTTGACTGGCCACTGACCTATCAGGATTGATCCGACTTCTCAAGTAAATGAATTGGTTAACTCGCTTAACTACTTCACTCCCTATTTCTAAACAGGGTGTCAACATAAACCACTTCTGTAGCAATAATTTGCATCTGAGTGGTGAGAAACGGATTCCAGTCACTCTGACATTGCTACAAAATGTGTCCGGAAAACTGTAGGCTGTCAATTGATATTGATAACCATCTAAAAGATGAATTCATTTTCACGTACGGGAGTTTGTGAAGATTGCTACTACGCTGCAAAAAGTTATGTAAGCATAACAAGGTTTAAGACGAGTGATTGCCACTCTAATTAATACTTATGTGATAGTCTCCTACCTTACATACCTCCTTTGCAAACACTGCATCATCAAACTAGGAAGTATCAATAACATTAACTTAAAAAATAAGTTGGTGGTGAAAGGCGTTTTGTGAGGAACACACAAGGCAGGGTATATTGTATTTCTTTTACCCGCTTATAAGTGATTTCCTGTTTTATTATATATTACAAGTGTATAAGAAGTATATTACCAGTGTATAATGAAGTTCAATGAATCTCTTTTAGCAGTGAACGTTTTTATTTGACTAATGAGTGTTTATATTTTTGCCAGAAATCATGACGCTTATAAAATGCATTCCTGGTTTTTTTAAATTTATTCCAGATTGTCTGGTTTTTTATTGTTCTCTTCCCAATATATCATACATTAAAGGTTAATTAGTTTTATGAAAGATATTTATTCTGGTAGTTCGATCGCAAATTTTTATTTGCGTGCTTCATTATTAACGAGAAAAGCGAAATTGGTGTATAAAAACATCACATACCAACGAGAATTCGTGGTATAAGCAATTGTGAATACACCCCAAGAATTAATTAAGTTATCAAAAATGAGATGAAAAAGACGATTACGTAAAGCCTGATAACGAAATACGTATACTAGACTATTAATCTCACGTACTATATTTGATGGCGCTAACAATACTTTGTAATTATCAATACTCAAGTGAAGTAAGCTAAGATTGCAGATGGTTGACGACTGCGAATCCATGTTACTTTAAGGCAGTGAAGCCCTCAAAAAGGTAATGTTGGTTTGTATTAAGTTCTAGGTAAGGCAAGAAAATCAGTAGATGACTTCATGAAACTTGGCTGAATGAGTTGGTTGAGACATATAGTATGGATAGATGCCTGATCATCACCTACTTCAGCACTTTGTACTACCAGGCGTTTGTTGGAAGATGCCATCCTATATGGGTTATAGCTGAGCGATGTAGTGTGAAGGCTTCCTAATAAGGTGTGCAAATAGAAGTCTCCAGATAACTCCCGGAGATTTAAAGCAATATAACTGAAACTAAAGCACACTGATGTAGATGGATTCATGGCTTATCCTGCTATTGATTTGTAACATTTTAGTGTGTACCATTTCCCTATCTCGTCTTATTGAGTTTGTCTTTTCTAGTTTCATTTTACTACTATCAGTACCACTGGTATGAATCCTATTTGATCTTGTCGATTTCCTCTATCTTTGTTGATATGGAATTTCGTCACCCAAACCAGTATATAATTATTCGAGGTCCTAATTTTATTGGCTAACATTTTGGAGGTATTTCATCGCCTATAATCAAAACAAGGTCCT